ACGAAATATATTGTAAATAACTAGTTTAAATTTGTATAAACACATTGAATGTGAAGTTTTTCACTTTAAATCACATATGATGTTTCACCAGAGTTTATAGTGAAATTGCCAGTGAGAGAGGTGTGATAGCGGATTTGTCTGGTTTTCATGACAGTCAATATCTGTCACTAACGCGACTACTTCCTGTCTCTGTATTACTGTCCGAAACAATAATTGCAATTTTGTCCGCAAATAATACCGAAGACAATAATCGGTCAAATTGTGTCGCAAATTGTGAGTTGAAAAGTAAATCTTATTGTTACTAAATTATTTGTTTTGAGTGAACAGTTGGGGCACAAAGTGGGGAGAGGGTGGGTATATCAGGATCGCCAGGAGTAAGCCTAACAACTGCGGGGTCTCAGAGCAGTCCTATTATCCTATAGTTCCCAATGCCGTCGAAACTCAAGCCATGATAGACCGGCTCAGGGATGTTGAACGCGCGTTGGTTTCAAATCAAAATTAATTTTAGTATTAAGTAATTCACTAATAAAATAATAGCAGCAAACAAAACCAAAATTGTATTTATTTATAGAATTAATAAAATGCAGACAAAAGTGTATTATTTATTGCCGTTTACATACACCAATGAGGTGTATACCAATGGACCTCAACTTTTGCATTCATTGTCAACAAATTAAATTACAGTTTAAATTACAGTTTAAATTACAGTTTAAATTACCATTTATTATATGGTATATGCGTAAACAACTTTATCGTTAAACCATAATTTTCTGACATTTTAGATTTGAAAATTAATTTTTTAAACTTCGGGAAAACTTTTCAAAACATCGATCATTGGTATTGCAAACGATTTGGCCCTGCGTTGAGATTTTAACTTTTTCGGAGGTTTTTCTACACAAAATTAAACCAGTGTAAATTATAGTTTATATTTGAAATATTATATAAATAAACTCACCTAGCTTTTCGCACTTATCTGAACCCTCGGTATAATCCGAGCAAAACATGTCTATAATATTGCCAGTCATTGACTTAATAAATCCCAGCATACTATCCACGGCAATAGGCGTACACTTTTGGACACCCTGTACATCGCGCGGTATGCACTCTAATATCTCATAAAATGAGCTATGCACATAATAAAATATGTAATTACAATGATATAGCTAATAAAACATTTACTAATAATTGACTTACCAACATAACCATGGCATTTTCTTTTTATCGTCCTGGGAATTTTGGATACCTAGGTACTTATCGATCAATTGTGTGTAACATTTATTCACCTTTAAATTAAATCATTTATTATAGATATTTTAATAATGTTTATTTTCACAGGTTTGAAATTTACCTGGGTATTTGCCGCGTTACTACAAGCACCCGCCTTAAGTAGGTTGTCCAGTTGTCTATTTTGATTTTTACAAAATTGTTTAACCGCCCCTTTTACTGTATATAAAAGTACCCCGGCAATTTGTTTGGGCGCATTATTCATACATTTATCACGGTGCTTGTCGATATCACCAATCAACTTTTCATTTTGGCTACGCGTTAAAAAATCATTATTTTGTAAATGTTATTTATTGGACACATAGAATTAAATAAAATAAATACCCTTGTAATATGTAATAATAAGTGAGTGTCATTTGGTTACAATAGAGCAAAATAATAATTGATCATTGTCATTATTAAACAATAAAGTAATTTCATGATAAAGTTAGTCGTAGTTTAAGAAATATCTGGATCAGTTTTAATAAATATATAGTATAATGCCCACTCGCAATAATGCATCATTGGCATTATTTAACACTATAGTAACTTAATAATAACCACTTATTTAGATATATCCTGGTCATGTGAAAAATATCTACTCACTCGCAATACTTTTTCAATTCCGAGCCCTTATTTTCCGGGAAACGTCGCCCGGAATTGCCAATAGTTAACAGTTTAGCCACATTTGAGTCAAACCTTTTAAAACTACTCGGTGGACATACATCTGCACTGAATGTACAGAGAATAATGGTAGCAAACAAATATAAAACACTCAGGTAACTCATAAAATATGTTGCCATTGTGGTCATAAATCGCTAGAAATGAGTGTTTTAGTGAAATGAAAATTTTATTTTTAATTGTGTGCCAAAACGAGTTTCTAATTTATAGTAGGTTGGCATTATAAAAATGTAAATTTTTAAATTTTATTTACACAAACTTTATGTAAATTAATTATATAGACCTTGAATATAATTATTGCTTCCCAATTAATGGAAAGGTCATAATAACAATATTATGTACAGTATTATTAAAAAATTAAATATTTTTGATGATTTTTTTTATATATTAAACATACACCTTTAATACTTTAATTATATTTAAACAATGTACATTAAATATTATAAGTTGTAATATTAAATTTAAAATGATTAATATAAAATAGAAGCTACACTTAATTTTAGAATTGCGAGTAAATTATGTATTTTTATGAACTGGGTAAATTGATTCTTATATTTTTATTTTGAAATTTTAAAAATTAATTTATATGTTTAGAATTATTACAAAAAATTATCAAAAAAATAGTTTCTTATGCAGTAGATTTAAAATATTAAAAACTAATAATTTTTTGGACCCTTAAATAAAAAATAATGTTCATGCTAATTAACAATTAGTAATTATACTGAATTATACTGTATAACCTTATTTAATTACGTTATTTAGACCTCGGGGAAACTTCTTAACACATCAATCATAGGCAACGCAAACGATTTAGTCCTTCGTTGAGATTTTAGCTTTTTTGGAGGTTTGTCTATATTTATGAAATACACTATGTAGTTGCCAAGGTAAATATGAGATTTTAATAAGTTAATTTACCTAGGCTGTCACACTTGTCTGAGCCCTCGGTATATTCACCGCAAAACACGTCAATAGTATTCCCAGTGATAGACCGGACTAACCCTAGCATACTGTCCACTGCAATGGGCGTACATTGGGGGACACCCTGTAGTGCATTTGGTATGCAACCAATCATCTCGTATAAAGCACTTTGAATATTAACATAAAATTGACCGCGATAAAATAAAACAAATATTAGTGTTTGTATTTGTAATTACTAAATGATTATCTATACTTACCAACATAACCATGGTATTTTCTTTTTATCATCCCGGGAGTTTTGTATACCGAGTATTTTGTCCACCAATTGTGTGTAACACTTATTCATCTATTAAATTTTTATCTTGTTAATTATGTTTAGTATTATTTTTGTAAATATACCTGGTTATTCCCAGAGTTACCACACGCACCGGCCTTAAGTAGGTTGTCCAGTTGTTTATTGTCCCTTTTACAAAATTGTCTAATTGTACTCTTGCCCGTGTATAATAATATTCCGGTGATTTGCTTGGGCATATTGTCCATACATTGATTGCGATACTTTTCGATATCACCAAGCAGCTTTTCATTTTGACTAAAAGGTAGCATGAACAATTAAAATAATAATAGAGTTTTCATAAACATAATAATTAATTTTCAAAATACAAATTAATTTTTATAAACTAGTTTAATAGTAAATGAGCAGGCTAATTATATTAATAACTTGTATGCTATACTCACACGCAATACTTTTTCAACTCAGAGCCCCTACTATCGGGGAAACGTCGCCCGGAATTGCCAATAGTTATCAGTTTAGCTATATTTGAGTCAAACTTTTTTAGACCTCCCGGTGCACATAATTCAGCACTAAATATTAATACCACATGAACTAATAATAAAATAAAAACAACTAGGTAATATTTCAAATATGTAGCCATGGTTCATAAAGTAAACTATAAGTTGCACTGTTTTTGTCAGACCTTAAATAACTTATGATTTTTAAAATAAGTATTACCTATGAGTTGTTACATGTTTATTATGCTGTTGCAATTTTTTCTGTAACAAATTAATGTTTTCAAATTGGACCTTGAGTTTTACTATCACTATATTTAACTTATCATTAATATGTTAAATTATGGAAAACTTTATTTGGAAAATGAAATCATTTTGTTAGTGTATAAATTAAAATTTTTGTAGATTCACTAACCCTCACCATTAGTACATTAATGTTGCATTCAATTTTTAGATTACCATTATAAGTACCAACAGGGTTCAAATATATCATTTTATTACATATAACATTTGAAAAATTATTTTAAAATAATAATATTATTATTTTATATTATAATTAATCTCATTATTATTGTAATCAATTATTATGAAAAAGAAAATGTAACAATAGCAATAATTATTTTATCAAGTTAGTTATTTGACAATCTATTAAATACCAAATAGTTTTAAATTGTTTTTGCTATTATCTTTATTTGATTGATTTATTACATATGATTTACAAAAATCCCTGTACATTTGTCTACACCCTGAACATTTAGATTCATACAGAATACACATTTTATAATAAACTTATACGTAAAATATTAGTTACAACATAGTGTATCTAATTATAGCATTATTTTAGTACGCTTGTCGCACTTAAAATAATTATAATTTATAATGACATAGTTAATATAAATTAAAATCATTTTACCCGTGAAAATATACTTAATTTATGTCACATGTCTATAATTAACACGTGAAATAGTGAATTATGATAAACTACAAATTAAATTTATTAAGTAAAGTAGATTGTGTAAAGATTGAATTAGTTAACATACGTTTATTAATTATATAAATTAATAAATTTTGAAATTTTAAAGTTAGTACTTTTTTAAAATAAAATGTATTGATAAATAATTGATAAATAATTTGTTTAAATAATCCTAAATAAAATTTGTGTCATATTAAATAAACTGTAGATTATTTTAAAATAAGTAAAATATTTAAATTTTGTTTATTAAATATAAATATCGTAATTTACAATTATATTCTGTTTCAATAATGTTAACTTGCAGAATTATACAAACTGTAATATTATTATAATGCAAATGCTTAATTTACAAAACTTTAGTTATTAAATAAATTGTTTAAGAAATAGTGTTTTTCATTACTTTTTGGTAATAAATTCAAAATAATTTCAAAATTTTTTGTTAAACTTCTGGAAAGGAGTCCAACACTTGTATTAAGGGAACGGCAAACGATTTGGTCCTCTTATCCGACTTACGTTTCTTAGGCGGGGGCTCTGTATGCGAGTGGACAGGTATTAGTCATGTTATATAAGTAATAGTATAGTGTTTTTTAAGTTACAAAAATTAATTTTTGCAAAAGTTAAAGGAATTAAATGATATAGAATTTGCACATAAACTGTAAAATTAAATAATTTCTAATAAATATAAATGTATTAATAGCATAAATAAATATGTGGGACACATACTCGCGAGGTATTTATTTTTTGACATTGTTTTTGGTGTGTGTATGTGTGTGTGTGTGTGTGTTTATATTATGTGTGGTCTATAGTAGTGGTCAAACCCATGACCCGTGCGATGGACTGATGAAGGACAGAGACTATTACTGTCCGAAACAATAATTGCAATTTTGTCCGCAAATAATACCGAAGACAATAATCGGTCAAATTGTGTCGCAAATTGTGAGTTGAAAAGTAAATCTTATTGTTATTGAAATGTTTACTTGTGACAACATAAACCTCAATCAAATAATTTAGTGTTTTATTGACATATGCTTTGAGAGGACAGACCTATTTTTGACGATGAAATAGTCGGGATGGTATCCGATGGCTACGACCGCGTGATCCACATTCTCTGCGCTACAATCGGGGTCATCGAAAATACCGGATCTAATGGACGACACGAATACCATTGCAATGAATACCAATGAAAAAGGTGTTTATGACTCACTTATAAGCGCTAAATCCTCGGGTAATTTGCGTAGCGATGGTAACGGGTCCGTAGTTGTAGATGGCGTTCACGAGGTCTGCGTCCCGACCCGTCTTCAGTCGTTTTCCTTCAGTCACGTCGACGTCCACTCTTTGGGACGCATTGTAGACACACTTGTCTTTCTGCTCGACATATCAACACAATTCATATGTCTCTAACATTAATCGTATTGTCCGCGAGACATACCTTTCCGGTGTAGTGGTAGGCATCGACTCCATTAACGCCTTTGTTTGCGGCCACATACTTGAATGCCTGCTGAGCCATACCTACCAATAAGCGAGTGATTGCTATTATATAACTCTTTCAATACGAGTGCCAATCTGTGCTTAAAGTGATAACTAGTGTTGAAACACTTTAACATAATTAATGCATGACTCACGACACTAGTTTTTAATTTCTCAATTAGTAATATAAAAAATAAATTTTTAATGAGAAAATTAAAACTAGTGTTGTAAGTCACGCATTAATTTGTTAAAATGTTTCAACACTACAGTAGTTGTACAACTTCAAAACACTTTTGGCACAGTTTGACACTCTTTCATGTCTACCGACAATACAATACAAACCTCCATCACAACCAAGTGAACCGAAATCTCCCGAACAGTCCACAAGATTCTGTTCACTAACTGTGAGGGGATTCTTGGGGTCAAACTTTGCCTCCGCTATCAATCGCTTCATGTTATGACCTAAAAGAGTATCAATTCATTTGAAATCTTATATATTATGACAGAAATAAAAGGACAGACTCTCGAGAGTAGAGGCGGCCGCGAAACTCCAACACGAAGCACAGCTTCCCTGGTGTTTACAGATAGGATTATATGAGATTAATGTATCGGATATATAATGAATATAGTATCACTTGATCCCTGGGAGGGGTGACAATCCCAAACTTCCTCCAATCCCACTCATCGGGTACAGATGGCATAGAAGCTGAGGCTGTATTCAAAGTGATAAAATTAGTTATAATAAGAGCATTGTATGAATCAAACTGTGCTTGATACCTTTTAGCATAACGTCTCCTTCGTCCTCTTTGTTGCCCACAACGTGCTCTCCGTCTCGTTTCAAACCTGCCTTTTGTCTCAAAATCTCGAGAAAACACTTTAGAGAAGACATAAACACCTAATAAGACATTGAACTGAGAAATGAATGCTTAATAACAGACCAGATCTGACAATTCATTGATCCCTTTGAGGTATTTAGCCGTCGCATTGCTGTTGTGGACCTGGATCAGTTCAATTGAGTGCTTGAAATGATGCATTCTTTCTGTCTGTTCGTTAGGATTCGCGTAATTCTTATGAAACAAACTCTAAATCCGACAAATATTTAAAACTATTGTTATATAGTCTGCAAACACATGGACTGAATGAATGGATAATTGATGACAAACCCTATACTCGTCATAAAATGGCACCAATTGTGTCACATTTCTGACATCAAGTTTCATGATATCAAAGCTCATAATATCTGTTACTTCTGTTCATAAAAAAAAGTTTATTTTAAATACTAGTGAATGGACTCATTGTCTTGAAATACCATTACTTTTGGCACCACTTCTGAGGTATACATCGGGTTTTGTCACGTAATCTATGGGTTTTTTCGTTGGCATCAATAGGGGGTACTTTTCTTTGAGAGACACCTTATCCCTGGGCATCTCAATTGTGTCCATCTCTTCGGGAAAGGTATGCTTGTCGACAATGGTCTTCGCCTTAGGGGCGCCAGTATTAGCCGACAATAGTATTGGCAGCAAAGGAGGTGCTGTTGTGGTGGAGGGGACCGTCCCTCCAGATGGTGTCCACCACTCGGTCTGACATTCCGTCGGATTTATGTTAAATAGTATTGATATGAATACGAGTGACACAACTGAAGACTCCATCGTTTGCTAACCATATGTTTGGCATTTAATTAAAATACAGGTGTACAAAAATGTGATAAGAACGAAATGAATTGTCTGTAATTTCTATATTCTTGATCGGAAACAGTTTTAGAATTTATTAAATTAAAGCTAAGAATATAATAAAACATTTGAGTGAAAAAAGCTATTGATTATCTTTTGAAATGGCCAAGATAATTAGTCCCGAAGTTGATGGTTTTATTTTAACTTTTTTAACCCATAGAAACCCATATATTAAGATAAGAAGATCTGAGGAAGAATATTGTGGTCTAGAAGAAGATAATTTCCACTATTCTTCTAGAATTGTTAGAAATACAAAATAAAATTTAAATTTGGAAGAAATTGGAAAAACAAAGATCGAAATATGATCTTGACCTCCGATAACAAAATTACCTCAAAATTCGGTTAAAATATCAATAATTTTATAATTTTTGTTCCGGGGGTTATGACCATTTTTTGGTCAAATATCTCCGATTTGCTTACAAATTTTAACTATATTTGACAGTTCTTATCAATGCTAGAAATTTTCTTGTCTTTGGCCACGATATTCTTCTTCGGCGTATTTTTTATCTTATTTTATGGTCACCGAAGCCTTAAAAAAGTTAAAACCTTACCATCAACTTCGGGACTAATTATCTTGGCCATTTCAAAAGATAATCAATTGGTTTTTTCACTCAAATGTTTTATTATATTCTTAGCTTTAATTTAATATATTCTAAAACTGTTTCCGATCAAGAATATAGAAATTACAGACAATTCATTTCGTTCTTATCACATTTTTGTACACCTGTATAATGAAATTACGCCTTATTTTGTATATGAACTGCTTGTGTATGAAATTAATTAATTATTATTGTTAAACAATAATATTTCATTTTGTCTCTCAAAAACTCAATTATTATATTCAATTACCATAAATTAGATAAAATAATATTTTTATATATTTAATTAATTATATTTCAATTGTCATTAAATAATAAATTCACTAGTTACAGTAAAATTATCCAGAGGCTAATTAATATGATAAAATAGGGGATGTTCTTAAATATCAATGATTTTTAAAAATAAATAAAAGCATGTTAAATTGTGATTGATTGAACAATTATCATATTATATTGTATACAATTGCAAATTATTCAAAATATTATAAGATTACAAAATAAAAATTTTAATATAGCTACTAGTACATTCAAGGCCTACAATAATTTGTATTCATAAATCTCAATTATATTGTTCTGGAACCTTATATCACTATAATAACTTATTATATAAAAAGTTGTTTATGTAAAATTTGTTAAAAAACATCACAAAACATATTTTTCAACCATTATCATTTTTACTTTAACATCATGTACTTTAAAAGTTATTTTGTTAAGTTAATTATACTGGCTAATAGTGTTTTATACGTATTTAGTGTTGAATTATGTCCACCAGAAGATCTCCAAAAGTTTGACGCAAATGTGGCTAAACTCATAGCCATTGGCAACTCCGGGCGCCGTTTCCCGGAAAGTCGAGGTCCGGAGTTGAGAAAGTTTTGCAAGTGAGTGATTAATGTACAGTATATTCATATAACATAAATATTTGTATTTAAAAAAATTTATACCTTGTTAAATGCTCAAATAATTGTTTTGTAATCCTAATATACCGTATGCTAATTTTGCATACTTAACAATGTTCATACTGTATTACACACAGCTATTTATAATTGATAATTAAATTTGAATAACTAGTAAATGTATTCACAACAAATTTAATTTAATCGTTGCATGCTCAATAATTCTAGTCAAAATGAAAAATTAATCTCGGACATCGAAAAGTATAGAAATAAGTGTATGGAAAATATGCCCAAACAGGTAGCTGGCATATTATTGTATACAGGTAAAAGTACGATGAAACAATTTTGCAAAAAGGATAGCAAACAATTGGACAACCTACTTAAAGCCGGTGCTTGCGGTAACTCAGGGATTAGCAAGGTAAGTCTTGACCTTATATTAAAATTTTATAAAAAAAATTAATTAATAAATAATCTACTAGATAAATAAGTGTTACACACAAACGATTGATAAAATACTAGGCATACAAATCTCGAACAATGATAAAATGAAAATACCTTGGTTATGTTGGTAAGTCCATGTTTATGTTTAAAAAATTACAACAAAAATAATTCATCTAGATAATATGTTATGAAATTAATTATAGTTCGCTATACGAAAGTATTGGGTGCGTGACGGGAGCACTACAGGGTGTCCCCAAATGTACGCCAACGGCATTGGACAGTATGTTAGGCTTATTTCGATCCATTACTGGCAATGTTGTGGACGTGTTTTGCGGCGATTATACCGAGGGCTCAGACAAATGCGATAGTCTTGGTACATTATCTTATATAATGTTATACTATATGCACTTATTTTACCTGTTATGTTGACTAACTTTACCTTGGTAATTTATGTGTGTAGAAAAACCACCAAAAAAGTTAAAATCTCAACGTAGGCCCAAATCGTTTGCGTTACCACTGGTAGATGTTTTGCAAAGTTTCCCTGAAGTTTAAATTAACGATTAATATAGTATTTTTAAAAATTTTATACTAAAAATTAATCATAATCATATTAGTTTATGTACTGTACTTTCTATGCAGATTAATGACTATTTTATGTAAACCCGCAAATTATTCTATATATTTGATATTAAGTTTACATTGAAATTACTATAAAACATTAAATATTATATCTAATAATTGTAATAAAAAATTTTATTATATAATTATGTTAATTATGTTTAAAATTTTTTTAAATACTTAAAAGATATGAGTCTCACGGACTCGAAGTGACTCATCTCTCAATTTAAATACAGACTGTATTATAAAATGTTTACCAAGTTCACAATGTATTAGCCTATGAAGCGTAGCTTAATATTTGTATTGAGAGATCTCGGGGTCTCACTTCGAGTCTCTGGGATTCATATGGATGGGTCCGTGCAGAATAAGCCCTAGAAATATGCATTTCAAACAGTAATTGTTGCACTAACACACATTAAAATACAGTATTGCTACAATTACAGTTTGAAATGTACATATCTAGGGATAATTCTGCACCGGCCCATCCATATACAGTATTATTGGATAAATAAAATTTATAAATTATCAATTATCTGGTGTCTGTGTAACCCTTTGGCCTAAATTTTGCGCACTTGTGTATTGTCATAAGTTCTCCATGATTAGTATAGTATAGTGACAAGGACATTAGTTTATATAAATTATTAATTAAATGTATTGGTAAAATATATAATTTAACCTTTGAAGTTTTTGTGTCAAAATAACTTATTTATCTATTGTCTATATGTTACTTTAACCCCAATATTAGATACATTTATAATGTTGAATAAATGACTACGATCACTTAATAATTATGGCATATTTTGATAAATTGTTATTTATTATTATACACTATTAAAATGAAACTGAACTATTTTTATAACAGTAATTGTCTGTAGTAATAATAGTAATTAATGTGCCACAATTAATTTAAAATTACCCAGTAACATATACATATTTTGTCAATATTTATTAATAGATTTTTATAAGTACTGATATTGTTAATTGTGCAATGTATCATACTAGCATCTACTATAAATTAATTGATTATCGAGCACTTGTAGCATTTGGGTCAAATGGGTTAACCATTAACAAATAATTAATTACACAGTATAAATATACGATAGATGAACTAGTTTATTTTTATATCACAAAAATAACTTTAATTTGCTTTTTAGAACTCAATCTCAAAACATATTGTGTGACATACAATGCGACTCTTATTGGTAATCATGGTGTCGGTGCTGATCGCCGGGTGCTTTGCACAACAAATCCAGAGCCCATTTACCATGCTAATTGATACAGTTGATGATGATGTTAGTGGTACTTTGTGGGCTGGACTTGGAGTAGTAGATGACCTAGTGGGTATGGATGTATATAATGGCACTATCACTTTTGGCAATTAACATGGTCATGTTGATGGTGGTGGTAATTGTGTCCATGCCCTTGGTAAATGATAAATCATATTAATTATAATGCTACTTTATAAAATATAATTCTAAAATATATCTGATAATACATTAATTGCTAGTACATTGTAATAAATTTATTGTCAATAAATTTTTCTTATTTTTTGTAATTTTTAAAGATATTGTTTAAAAAATTAAATAGTTTTTATTCAACTAATTATACTAGATAATATCACACTAGTTGGAATGATTAATTAAACTGATTATTTAATTAAAAATACATTTTGATTAACAATAAAATTTGACTTTTCATTTATTTAAATTACGTTCTCAAACCCGTAATAAAATTTATATTATAATTTAGTATTTCATCAAGATATTATACGAGAAAGTTTGTTAACGATATTTTATTTGTTTTACAAAAGTGCCTATAACACTAAAAAAGGTTTTGTAAAAATTTTACTTTTAATAAAATTTACTTATGAATTACAGTTTTGTATTTGAGATTTATTTAATAACAAAATTAATTATGAGCTAATTTAATAATTTACATTTATGACAAGATAATTTGTTTGAGACATACCTGGCCGTTTTCTACCGCGATAAGCAAGTGCCCAGTATAACTTCTCATCCCCCCACCGGTCAGTGTCATTTGTGCGCGGTATGTAATCCCGGTGCTCACTATCACCAATTAGTAGTTTTTATAAACTGTTACATAAAACTAAAAATATGTTAAATATAAATATGTAACTTTAGTATTTTAAACTGGTTTATTAGAGAAATGGTTTTTATATTCAATAAATTTATACAAGGTAATTACCTTAAATATCTATTTTAATATACAAACTTGAATTTTATTTTTAAAAATAAGTTTCTTTTAAAAAGTAACATTGTTAATAATTATAATTGGTCCAAGGAACTCCGGGTTTATAGTTTTTATTTGCAAACTAGAATATGGTTCATAATTAAATATGTGAAAATAATTTCATTTTTAGAAAAATTTTAATTTAATTCTTAAAACCATCATTATTACAGTTTTATTTATATTATTTAAAATTCATTTTGAATTTTATTTTAATTAAATTTAATAATATTTTTATATAGAGTAAACAGTGAATATTATTTGTAATAAATAAATTATTTAATTTAAAATAATTAAGATAAAATGTATGTGTAAGATACCCAATTATAATTATTTGAAACTTTTTTATTTATTAATTGAGTTTATCATAAATTCGTTACAATATGAAAGGTAGTAAACTATATAAAGATATTTTGTTGGATTAGAGCTGCAACAATGTTTATTTTATAATCAAAGTAATAGTTATTTTTATTATCTAGATTCAAGATTGTATCCTTTAAAACTGTATAATAATATAAGTTCTAAATAATTTTTTAAAAGATGTTTTAAGATATTATAATTGGACTACCGGCTGCAAAATAAACCTAAGTAAATTATACTAAAAATCTAAGCATATTGACAATATTTTCTTGTAAATTAATTAAATATATTAATAATTTACATTATATGACAAAATTATAACTATAATACAGTCAGTTCCAAAATAGAGTAACCTGGTTTTTCTAAGAAAAACACATGAAGACAATTTTTGATTTCATTCATTTTTATATAAGAAATCCGGAATTTTGTGATAAATTTTATTAATTGACAATTATTTTTTTGTGACCTCGGTGTCAAAGGTTATTTCCAAAAAACTGTTTCCGAGGTTACACTGTATATATGAAAAATCTAACATTTTCAAATAATTTGTAAATTCATAAATGTCTCGACGTGTTTCGGGAATTTGCAAGATAATTCATGGATCAGTAGATATTTTAAGACAAATGTCTTAATAGCCGTTAAAAAATATATATTTTGGTATGGCTTTAAAAGGGAAATTTTGAATAAAAACTGTAATTTTATATTTTAATGAATGTGCAACACATCAATGAAATTTTTTCAATTTTATTGCTTAAATAAATTTAATTTAAAATATTTAGTATTTAATATTTTAATACTTAATATTTGTGTATAGAATAGATTTTATTCAAATACTTTTAATTACAAATAAATATGACGCAGGGTAGTTTATTGGAGTTGATTATCAGCAAATAATACTTTAAATAAATAGTTGTATGAATAAAATGATTAAATATTCATTTTATCTTTTAATTTTTGAATTTAATCGATGAATATATTTTTTCAACAAAAATTGTGAAAAAGGGATTAAAAGAGATTAGCGATAAAAATGATTCACAAAAAACTGAATCAAAATTTCAAACACTTTTTATTCACTCATTAAATGTATTATTTGTGATGAAATTGTAAGCTTTCGGTACGTTTTTTGCGGCCAGAAATGGACACCAAATAACCGGATTGAGCACCTAATTTTTAGATGTATGTTATCAGGGACATGTTCTCTACAACATATCCAAACCCCATAAGTGTAGTGAGCGGAGGACCTGGGTCACTTATTTGTAAGACAGCATGATTTGTTTTAAATGAAATGTGAATGTAAAATATAATATAAGTTAAAAGTATGACCTGTAGTCGAATAGGAAGTGGGGAAACCTTGTCCGACAAAAACCTTGGTCCGACCCGAACGGGGGCGGACGGGCGTTTACTGACGGTTTCGGGCGGGAACGGGTTTGAATATTAAGGGCCCAGGTCGGGAAAGGGTAACCCGTTGTAGAAATCAAAACCCTTAAAAAGTCCAAACCCTTAGAAAGCCATTACAACTTTCTCGCTGTATTTATATCCTCTCCGTCTTGTATTAAACCTGTCTTTTGGTTTAAAATCTCGTCAAAACTCTTGAGTGAAAACATAAACACCTAATAAGACATAGAACTGAGTAATTAATGCTTAATAGCCGACCAGATCTGACAATTCATTGATCCCTTTCAGGTATTTAGCCGTCACATTGGTGTTGTGCACCTGGATCATCTCAATTGAGTTCTTGAACAAAGCCATCCTTTCCGTCTGTTCGTTAGGATTCGCGTAATTCTTATGAAAAAATCTCTAAATCCGACAAATATTTAAGATTATTGTTATATAGTCTGCAAACACATGGACTGAATGAATGGATAATTGATGACAAACCCTATACTCGTCATAAAATGGCACCAATTGTGTCACATTTCTGACATCAAGTTTCATGATATCAAAGCTCAAAATATCCGTTACTTCTGTTCATAAGAAAGTTTATCTTAATTACGAGTGAATGGACTGATTGTCTTGAAATACCATTACTTTTGGCACTCCCTCTGAGGTATACATCGGCTTTGGGCACGAAGTCTATGGCTTTTTTCATTGGCATCAATAGGGGGTACTTTCTTTTAAGAGATACCTTATCGCTGGGCATCTCAATGGTATCCACCACTTCGGGAAAGGTATGCCCTACGGGAATGGTGTTCGCCTTAGGCGCGCCAGTATTAGCCGGCATTAGTATTGGCAGCAAAGGAGGTGCTGTTGTGGTGGAGGGGACCGCCTCTCCAGATGTTGTCCACCACTCGGTCTGACATTCCGTCGGATTTATGTTAAATAGTATTGATATGAATACGAGTGACACAACTGAAGACTCCATCGTTTGCTAACCATATGTTTGACTTTTATTAAAATATAAGAAATTACACTCAATTTTATATATGAACTTCTTGTGTATGAAATTAGTTATTATTATTGTTAATCAATATTATTTAATTTTGCCTCTCAAAAACTCAATTATTTATTTTTAATTTACTATATTAAATATAAACTCATCAATAATTAATATTTTTATAAATAAAACACGTTCAGTATTTTCTAAATATAATTGATCATTTAATTAAGTTTCTAATGGATTAATTTATGATTAATTTTATTAATAATCTTTTCATAACAATATTCATTAAACAGAACTTTATATTTAATATATTGTTGCCAAATAATATTTTATTAAAAAGTACCATGCTATATGATTTATCAAAGTGTATATTAGACTTATAATGCAGCAAATTATATTTGCAATTATTTATACAGTATTGAGCGATTTGTATTTGGAAAAGGGTCAAATAATTATTCTAATCTGAATTATATCTAAAATTATAATTATAAATATATTATTGCAAAACTAGTGCAAAACCCTCAAAATATCAGTATAATATACAGTATAAAATTAAATGATAGTATAAATTTAATAAATTTAATTAAAACCTGTAGTTATTTAAATAAAATAACATTATTAGCATCATGCACAAAAATGTAAAAAAAAATTTGCTCTTCATCTAAACTTCAGGGAAACTTTTCAACACATCTACTATCGGTATAGCGATTGATTTAGGCCTTCGTTGAGTTTTTAACTTTTTTGGCGGTTTCTCTAAATTCATAAAAACCTTGTTACAATTAATAAATTACTAAATACAACAGATAACTTACCAAGACTATCGCATTTGTCTGAGCCCTCGGTATAATCGCCGCAAAAAACATCAATAACATTGCCACTCATAGCTCGAAATAGCATTATCATACTGTCTATGGTATTTGGCGCGCATTTATCGACACCCTGTAACGTGCCTGACATGCACCCCATAATCTCGTATATCGAACTACCATGATCATTTAAAGTAAAATTTATTTGATATAAGTATTGCAATATAATAGTATAATAAGGTAATGACTTACCAACATAACCATGGTATTTTCTTTTTATCATCCTGCGAGATTTGTATGCCGAGTAGTTTGTCCAACATTGCCGTGTAACATTTGTCTATCTATTAAATTTGAATATAGAGTATAGCTGCTATAATAAATAATTTCATAAGTTTACCTTGTTTATTCCAGAATTACCGCAAGCGCCGATTTTAAGTAGAGTGTCCAACTGTTTGCTATTTTTTCTACAAAATTGTTTCATTTGATTCCTTGCCGTGAATACTAATAATCCGGTTACTTGTTTGGACATATTTTCCAAGCATTGATTCCGGTACTTTTCGACGTCCGAGATCAATTTATCATTTTCACTAAATTAAATATAATTATCTATGTTACTATATAAGTAATTAAATGTGAAATAGTTTAACTACTACCTACTTACTTGTTAGTATTATTTTATTTTAGATTAAAGCAGCTACATTATGATTTAGTTAAAGTATCATGGTAATTATAAATTAATATTTTATACTTACGAGCAAAACTTTTTCAACTCCGGACCTCTATTTTCCGGGAACTTTCGCCCGGAATTGCCTACCATTGAGAGTTTAGCCACGTTTGAGTCAAACTTTCGTAGGTCACCCGGTGAGCATACCTGAGCCCGAGACATACTTGTGCTTGTTAACACATACCACATAAACACACATAACTTATAATAGCTTTCCATATTATTATACCATAGTGAATATATTTTTAAAAATATTATGAATGTCAAGTAATAATGCAAATTTATTTTTACAAAACAAGTTCTTTTATATGGGAATAAAAGTAAAATGGTAATTTTTATATAATATATTAGGTGGACCTTGAGTTTGTACTAAAGAGTTAATGAGAAAAATATTATTTATAATTTTAAATTAGCCTGATGATACCTGTCGATTAACCTTGTTGCCTACTTGTCATGTATTTATTAATAAAATATTTATAATCGTACGATTCCGTTAACATGTGTACATTATTAGTATAATATTTTCAATAATATTTTTATTTTATTACAGTATTTTAGTAGGATAAAACAGGTTTAAAAATACATAAACCTTATATAATTTAGTGTCTGATTACTGTCTATTTAATGTATTTAGTAAAGTGACTTATGAAATTTAAATATTTAAAATAATAATACAGTTTAGTAAATCATTTACTTAATTATTTTTTGTGTAATTAAATTTAATTAAGAAAATATTTTTAACTAATAGAAAATAGTAGCTTTTTATAAATATGAAAATAAAATTGAAGTTATTTATCATTCAAAACTTTATTATGCAATTTTATTTAAAACAATTATTATATATCTATAGTACTGTAGTTTATCCTGTAATTAATAAATTAATGTTTTGAATAAAAATATATTGTTAAGATACTCAAACAGTTTGGCAATAAGTTAATACAATTGTAATTGCTAATGTTTTTTAATAAATTTAATAGGTACTAATTTTAATAATAGAATTCTTACTACAAAACTATTTACAAATTTAATGTGTTAATTTTATGTGTACGGTAATATAGACTATAAAAAATCATATAGCATGGTACTTTTTAGTAATTTATTGTGTTAACAACATATATAAAGTTATGTTTGAGAAAAGTTTTGATTATGAAGATTAATGAGATTAATCAAAATTTAAATATAATTAAATAGTCAATTATATTTTGTAAATATTGAATGTATTTCATTCTTATAATATTAATTATCCTTTATATTATTTATCAACTATTGATGAGTTTATATTCAATATATTATAGTAAATTTAAAATAAAAATAATGTTATCTAATTTTTGGTTAATGAATATAAACATTGAGTTTGTGATTATAATAATAAATAGAAATAATAATAATTAATTAATTTCATACACAAGCAGTTCATATATAAATGAAGTTTAATTTTAGTATAGATTTATATTTAATGAAATGTCAAACATATGGTTAACAAGCGATGGAGTCTTCAGTTGTGTCTCTCGTATTCATATCAATACTATTTCACATAAATCCGACGGAATGTCAGTTCAAAGGTCCAGACATTAGTGGACAGCTATTGGGTTACACCAATGAATTCAATGCTTTCCCTCCGCTATCTCAGGCTACTATTGGCGCGCCTAATGTCGAGGCCATTGCCGCCGGTCATACCGTTCCCGCTTTGATGTCTCTCAACGAGGATTACCTACGACTTCAACGAAAGGTTAATATCGTGAGAGAGAAAGCCAAAGGTTTGGGTGTTTGGAGACAATGAGTCCTTTGAGTCTTATTTACGATAACTTTACTTATGAACAGAATTAACAGAATTATCCAATCATTTGAATAATGAGATCATGAAACTGGATGTCAGAAATTGGACACAAGTGTTTCCAGTTTTTGATGGTTATATGGTTTGTCACGCATTTGTTTCCGTGCATCCATGTCCATTTGATAAAATTAATAACATTATCTTAATATGTGTCTGATTTAGAAATTATTTGATAAAAAATACCTGGATCCTAAGGAACAGACTGAAAGAATGGAATTGTTCAAGAAATCAATTGAAATGATCCAGGTGCACAACAGCAATATAACGGCTAAATACCTGAAAGGAATCAATGAATTGTCAGATCTGGTCTGATATTAAGCATTCATTTCTCAGTTCAATGTCTTATTAGGTGTTTATGTCTTGTCTCTAGAGATTTGCCGAGATTTTGAAACAAAAGGCAGGTTTCATACCAGACGGGGAGGACAGGCAGGACGAAGGAGACCGTATGTTGCAGGGTATCAAGCACACTTTTAGTCATAAAGTATTCTTATTATAACTATTTTTATTACTTTGACTACAGCCTCAGCTCCTGTGCCACCGGTAAACAACTTACCCGATGAGTGGGATTGGAGGAAGTTTGGGATCGTCACCCCTCCCAGAAAACAAGTGATTCTCATATTTGTTATAATATAAGATGCCAAGTGTTGAAAGGTTCAATACTTAATTTCATTACATTCTCAATTATAATACAGACGAACCTTTCAACACTTGTAATCTCTATAATTATATACTTTATTATAAATCTCATGTAACCCTATCTGCTAACACCAGGGAAACTGTGCTTCGTGTTGGAGTTTCGCGGCCGCCTCTACTCTCTCTCGAGAGTCTGTCCTTTTATTTCTGTCATAATATATAAGATTTCATATGAATTGACACTCTTTTAGGTCTACACATCCACTGATAGTTAATGTTGAACGTGGATATGCGTCGGTCGTGATTCACACGTCAACCAGTTTCGAGAGCCTCGGGTGTCGTCTGAATTCAGGGCACAGACCTCTCGCCAGTTTGGGACATAGGGTACGGCGGGTCAGCTCCAGGGCGTTGGCCAATGCGAAGAGAGAGTTAATCGTAAGGCTTGTGTCCCTCTCTAT